TTTGAGTGAATGTTTTGAGCTATATATAAAGATGGTGGCATTTTGAAGACTGCTTTTTTTTTTTTTTGCTTGTCCTGCTTAGTTTGTATCCATGGAAGATATCCTTCACGGTGCCTTCCAGTAAGCATAAAAAGTGGCAAGGGAATGCAGGCATTCTAACCGAAAACCTGATCTGACATATGTATTTTCTAGGATCCATTCAGTTTCCTAACTCTCCCAAGTTGCATAGGCTTGGAGAGAAACAGAGAGATTTCTAATGAAACACAGTGTGATTGTATTATTTTCTAGGATGACTTGATGGAATGGTTGAGTGCTATTGGTCTACCACAGTACCACAAAAAGCTGGTGAGCAACGGTTATGACTCCATCAACATTGTGACCGATCTGACTTGGGAGGATTTGCAAGAGATTGGCATCAACAAACTTGGTGAGAAGAAATCAAAAGCCAAAAGCAAAACCACCGGGGCTTTGGGAACTTCTGGTCGTATGTAACTAACAAGACTGTTCTTGTAAGGGTGGGGAAATTGGATCCATAACATAATATTCACTGCACCTCAGCTTGATCGTGTTTCAGTGATTCATCGCTCAGAACTTTTTAATTGACTTGGAATGGAGAATCTAGTCAGTCTGCATAGTTGGCTATCCATTAGAAGAGTATTATGGTGACTGTGGTACTTACAGGCAAGGATAAGAACCTTAGAAAATGTATTGGCAATTAGAAATAACAATAGTACTTAGACACTTAGACTTATATACCACTTCATTGTGCTTTACAGCATTCTCTGAGCAATTTACACATGTCAGCCTATTGCCCCCAACAATCCAGGTCCTCATTTGATCAAGCACAGAAGGATGGAAGGCTGAGTCAACCTTGTGCTGGTCAGGATCAAACTCCAGGATGTGGGCCAAATTAGCCTGCAATACTGCATTCTAACCACTGCACCACCAGGGCTCCCAGCCTTTGGTAACTAACTTGGCATAAAGGGAGTTGAAATCTAAAGTATTGATGGTGTCAGTTTAGCAGCTTTTTGGCCTAAAGTAAATCCAAGAAGGATAGTCATAAAAAGTTAATAACCAACTAAGAATAATGCAGCACTTCACAAAAGCTTTTACACTCCAAAACCTATTTGATTTAAACTTACTCCTGAGATTCCATGGAATCCTAAGAAAAGTGTTTCCTTATTCAAATAGATTGACAGTTTCCCCAAATTTTGTTGGCTGACTCCAATTCATTTTGTAATATGTAGCTGGGGGAGAACATTGGACCTAGCCCAGGATGCAGTCTTCATTTTTGCACAGTGACAGACTCAGCAAAGCTTGCCAAGGACAGTCGCAAAAAGGAGACAGCCTCCTAGACCAGTGGTGGCTAACTTTTTCTGGACCGCATGCCCAAAGCGCATGCATGCCAGAACCCCCAAAATATAAAGTGTGTGGCCCATGCCCCATGCCCCCCCATGCATGCACACGCGCCCCCCTTGCACACATCCCACCCACCCCCGCACAGTTGTGACAGCTCTAAGGGATGGGATGGTGTAACTGGACATCAACAATTGGAAGCATCAAAGCAAATTCCGCATCCTGATTAGCACCTCAGACAGCAATTATTTTGTTAATTAGCTCATTTCTTAGCTGTCAGCCTCTGCTTTGTTGCTGCTTTGACTGCCATTGAAACGGGGAGGGGGGCATGGTATTTGGGAGGGGAATCATGATGTGCTGGAGGAAGATTCTAGACGCTGACCTGACCATCTTACTGCACATGTGGAGNTCAAATCAAGATTTTTTTAAATTGTCCTTTTTCATTTCTCAATTTGTCAGAGAGCTCTTTAGAGAATCTTGGCAGTTTTATGTGGTTTGTGGATGCTGTCTTTGAACTCATTGTAATCATTCATGAAAGCTTTTGAAACTCTTATTTTAGCGGGTCTCTAGGCTGTCATATAACAACAATATTATTACTATGTCAAAGGCCACTGATTGCATTATCTTAGTAATTGAGATATTCTGATCAGGTACAGCATCCAGAATCTTTCTATGACTATTATTTCATAAAGAGATAATTGTAAATTAGGTACATTTAATGCAAAATGAAGAAATAGGGCCATTAGGTTGGGTTTGCATCTGAGCGAGTTAATCCACAAGGCACCTCTTCTCTGCATCCCACTCGCCTGCTCCCCAGGCCATCTGTCCTCAGCTGCACAGGGGTCTCCTTGCCTGGATTTCAATTGGTCCCCAAATCACGTCCTTTCCACCAAGTTTAGCTAAGACTGGAGAGAACCAGCAAGTAATTTTAAAATATAAAATGAGGAGAAAAAAAGAATTCCAGAGCAAAATAATGATGTTCTGAAATGAGGAGGGTCTCCACACAGCAGGCTATCTTACTTAAAACCAGATTACATAGAAAGCATTTTTATAAAAAATGGCCTTTAGATTCAAAGGAAAAATTTATAGAACAGAAGGGGAATTTCAAATTTCTGGCAAATTGGGACACAAGATTCCTTTGGGATGCAAAGGCAAACACCTCCCTCTTCCCAGGAATGTAGGTGCTACCCAGAAGTGGCAGCGGTGGCCATGATGGAGCCTTCCAAACTAGAATAAACAGCCATTTCCTGGGGCATCTTAAAAGCACCTTGTCCTTCTTTTGCAGCCACATTGCAATCAGTTACTAAGATCTGATGATTAGGGGACTGGAGGCTAAAACATATAAAGAATCGTTGCAGGAACTGGGTATGTCTAGTTTAATGAAAAGAAGGACTAGGGGAGACATGATAGCAGTGTTCCAATATCTCAGAGGCTGACACAAAGAAGAGGGAGTCAAGCTATTCTCCAAGGCACTTGAGGGTAGAACAAGAAGCAATGGGTGGAAACTAATCAAGGAGAGAAGCAACTTAGAACTGAGGAGAAATTTCCTAACAGTTAGAACAATTAATCAGTGGAACAGCTTGCCTCCAGAAGTTGTGAATGCCCCAACACTGGAAGTTTTTAAGAAGATGTTGGATAGCCATTTGTCTGAAACGGTATAGGGTTCCCTGCCTAGGCAGGGGGGTGGACTAGAAGACCTCCAAGGTCCCTTCCAACTCTGCTATTGTATTATATCTGTTTCACATGTTTCAAGTGAAGAGATAAATTTAATTCAGAAATTCTCTCTCTTTCCAGGACATGAAGCTCGCGGATGCATTGATATCCACAATGATGAGAACAAAGCCTATACTTTTGCTTTCCGGGACGCTTCCCGTTTTTCAGAGGGGCGAATCAACAGCCTGAACGTGCAGCCCATGGAAGGGGTGGTGCCACCTCATTCCAGGTGAAGGAGGGAGGGAATTGGGTGCCAAAGACGGCAAGCGGTGCCCCAGGATGAGACTTGATGGGGCTTTGAGATAGCTTAATAGGTGTTTGTATGGCTTATAGTAGGGATGAAGAAGGGGACACAGGATAAACAGGTACTGTTGTGGAGGGCTGAACCTATGAAACCTGGTTTGATGTCCTCAAACTCCATCACCTCAACTCTGCAGGCTGCTCCAGGTGAGAGGTGAATGCTGTGCAGGTGCAGAAAAGCCTCTGCTTTGCTGCTGCTTCGGCTGCCATTGAAACGGGGAGGGGGGGCATGGTATTTGGGAGGGGAATCATAATGTACTGGAGGAAGATTCTAGACGCTGACCTGACCTTTTACTGCACATGTGGAGGAAGGGAGTTTCCCGCCAAGGTTAACTGTCCAGCATTCCATCCTGGTGATGACTTTTGAAGTTATCTCCCACCTGACAGTTGGGTGCATTATAATTGGACTATGGACTGGGGTGCCAAGGGGAGGGGATTGAATTATACATGATATTATTCGCTTTCGCGCCTAATTAACCAGATTCAGCTTAGCTTTGCTACTGTTCGTTTATAATTAGTAAAAGTACACTTAATTTCAAAAAAATGGAGTTGAGTGGTTTCTTTCCTGATTACTAAATGAAATCGCAGCTGACACACTTCCTCTCCTTGCTCTCCCTCAGCTACCAGCTGACTGAAGGAATGTCTGGCGACTGCGCAGAGTTGGACCCAACTTGGCTCCTTCTGCTGCCTCCTGTGGCCAGTTTATTTACATTGGATTTCTCATTTCTGATTGACTTCACGTGCCAAACAGTCAGATGTGGCCGAGGGGGCTGTAGAATGCCTAGTCTGGCTTGCAGGATGGATGGATGGGAAGAAGATGGTTTAGGAGACTGACAGTGGAGGGCTTCAAATGTATCATACTCACTGCTGTCTTTATTTCTGGTTTGGTTATTTTTTGGTCTCTTTTAACCTGATGTAGCCTCCCAGAATTGGAATTTGCAAGTTGGAGGCCATAAAAATTGATTAGTTAATCAATGTAGAAATGTACAAAATGTACAAAAATAGAAATACAAGTAGTTCTTGGCTTCCAGCAGTTCATTTAGTGATTGTTCAAATTTACAACAATATTGAAAAAAGTGACTTATGACTGTTTTTCACACTTATGATTGTTGCAGCATCCCCATGGTTATATGATCACAATTCAGACACAGCAACTGACTCATATTTATGATGGTTGCAGGGTGTCAAGATGTTGTGATCCCTTTTTGCGATCTTCTGACTAGCAAAGTCAAAGGGGAAGAGAGTTTCACTTAACAACCGTGTTACTAATTTAACAATTGCAATGATTCTCTTAACAACTGTGACAAGAAAGGTCATTAAATGGGGCAAAATTCACTTAACAAATGTCTCACAGCAACAAAAATTTGGGGCTCAATTGTGATCGTAAGCTGATGAATACCTGTATACTCTTTAAAAAAATGTTTTACAAGGTTTTTTTGCTGAGGCCTTCCTGGTTTTTTTTTAGGGTCCTTGGATGTAACTCTTGTGCACATCATTATATGAAATGCTTGTTCTTTCATTTCTTCAATTCTGACTTTGTCCAGAGATAAACAGCCACCTGCTATCAACAGCAAATCTGCATAAGTCTGATTTTTATTGGAAGGTGCCCAGAAACCAGAGACCAGCATTTTAAAAAGTTGGCATTTACTTATTAATTTATTCATTCATCCAATTTATATGGCTGCTTATTTCACCCTACCTGGGTTGCTATCCTCCGGGATTGGGCGGCCTAGAAATTTAAAAAATAAATAAATAAGTAATTAAAACAGTGTAAAAACACCAAAAGAATAAAGAACCAACAGGAGGCACATCATGTGCAGCCAAGGCAGAAACCTAGAAATCAGCCCAACCACTGCCTGGACTCTGACCTGCACCCAGATCCCAGGCCCAGACGCCCAACTCAACCCAGCAAATGTGTTTTCTCACCAGATTCCCATTTCACATCCACTTCACACCAACCCTGGAAGGGGAAGTGAATTTTAACCTCATCTGTGATGTCAAGAAGAAAAGCCAGCCACTCTGTCTGAATGTCAAAGCCATAGGCCACGCCATGAATGTGTCTGTGAAGTGTGAAGAAAGCCTCGGGGTGGTGACTGAGCTGAACCCAGAACATCCGAAGCAGATCCACTTCCGTGAGGTGAGAGGACCATGAACAGAGCAGGGCTGGTCTGAACATACATGCAGGAAGCTTGGAGACCTTCTGCTGGCTACTAGCCCTTCTTCTGTGTGCTTCGCTTCATTGCTTCCTACTCAGCATCTTCAGTTCAATCCTCCCCCCCAAAAAGAATCTCTTTCTTCCTCTACCCTGTGGATTAGAAGTTTACGATTCAGTTATTTTAGCAATAGCAATAGCAGTTAGACTTATATACCACTTCATAGGGCTTTCAGCCCTCTCTAAGCGGTTTACAGAGTCAGTCAGCATATTGCCCCCAACAACAATCCGGGTCCTCATTTTACCCACCTCAGAAGGAGGGAAGGCTGAGTCAACCCTGAGCCGGTGAGATTTGAACAGCCAAACTGCAGAACTGCAGTCAGCTGAAGTAGCCTGCAGTACTGCATTTAACCACTGCGCCACAGCGGCTTTTATAGCCGTCAGTCAAGGCCATCCCAAAAGGTAGCCCAGAGTCATTTTCTCCCCAAGGGTCTGAACACCTTGGGAGCCAAAATTCTGTTGGGCTTTCATAATTCTTTGTTTCAGGAGCCTGAAACATTTCAGGGGCACATTCGGAATTTTATCTTTTTTCCAAATCAATGGACAAGTCCACCAAAAGTACACAACCATAATTGTCCATCAGTGATATTTTGTAAGAAAAAGTTAATTTTTAAAGAAAATCTGGGGCTTGAAATAATTTTTGGTAATATAGCAGTATCAGAGGCTGGCACTTAATGTTGCCAAAAATGACAGACTTTCTGTAGGTCCTTGTGTTTGTGATGGTGGTGGATGCTGAAGGAAGATGCAATGGCTGCCTTGGGTGCCACAGGGACCATTCCCTCTTTACCTTACAGAGATCTAGACCAATATCCTGAAAGGAGATTTAATTTCATGTATGATTGTTTCTACTTTTAAACCCAACTTGGTCTGGAGTCTAATTACATTCTGGGGTGTCCCCTTCCATCCTACTGGGATTGTGGTGGAAGATGGGAAGGCATCCCTGTGTGCTGGGGGAAGGGAGGAAGCAGATTCTGAGGACCTCACGAAATAGGGCATTCACAGAAACCTCCCTGGAGGTGCACATATGAGGGGCTGCACTGGAATTCTCTGCACAGGAACCCCAACCACAGAACACCACCCCCTGGACTTTCCTGTGGGGCCAATCTCTCTCTGGGTGTGGAGCATCCTTCCATTCTCGGGGCCTGTGTCTGGGAGCTGCTGTACCATGAAGTCTGACTAGGCACTGATGGGCAGTGAGGAGGCCCACCTTCCTTGGAAGACAAGGCAGGGGGCAGAGAAGGGAATGCAAGGCAGGCCAGCTTTGAGACAGGCTGGCAGACCTGGCTTGGGATTCCAGACCTGGCTGGAAGGAGGGGAGGAAGCGATTACTACTTTCTCTTCACTCTGGACAGATGCAAGTCAACGATTACGCAGAGTGCAACTTCTCCATCCTCAACACCGGCAAATTCAACTTCACCTTTTCCTGGGAATTCTGCAACGCCAAGAAGTTTCTGCAGTGTTTTGCCCTCTCCCCAGAGAGTGGCACTGTGGAGGCCGGAGAACGGATGGAGGTCAAGCTCTCCTTCCACCCACTGAAGGCCTTCACCTTAAAGGACATTGAACTCAAACTGCAGGTAGGAACCCAGGGGCCCTGTTTGCCAGAAGGTTTCCGTTGCCCATTGCTGTACCATGAAGCCCTGGATGTCTAGCACCAGATCCAGGCAGGGGAACCTGGCCCATGGAGGAAGGAAGTCCTCTCAGCAGCAGGAGTACTGATTGCAGTGGGAGGACAGCCATTTATGCTCTTAGATCTAACTTTGCTGCTGAATGACCATATCACAGGACTCTTATGGGGAAAAGAGGAGCAGAAAGGAGCAGGGTACGTTTGCTGCCTTGTGTCATATATGAAAAAGAAGGCGGCATAAAAATATTGTGTGGGGGGGGGGGGACCCTGGCTGAACTCTCTTTCTGGGTAAACTATATCTAGACACAGTCCCATTTATTCACCCCCATTGGTCTTTAACGAGACTTGCTCCCATCTAGCTCCAGCTGTTTTTTTTAAAAAAAAATTAATATATTCCTATTCTGCAGTTATTGCAAAGGGAACTTATTAGCAGTTTACATCAACATAACAATTACACCCTTTATATGCTCACTTATGTTTATGGACATACTGGGTCCCTCTGTGACTTTGGGATACCAAGAAGATGCCATGGAGAAAAAGTGGCATATAAAATAATAATGCTCTGTTTAACTGCAACAACTGTGAAATAAATGAGCTTTTGGCGGTCTCCGAACTAGTTTCCTGCAGCAAAACCCCATTAATGGCTCTGTTGTTTGTGGTGTTGCAGTGGCCAAGCTTTGCAGCAAGTCTGCATCTCTTTAAAGAATCAGGCAGCCACAGTCAGCTGCTCTTTCTTCAGATGCCCACAATGTCCCACTCATTGATGGGATATTTTCTGCACATGTTCGAGAAACACTCCATCATTTCAGAAACCTCAGATTCCGGGATATCAACCATTGATCTGAGGGTGACTTATTTTTTTAACAAAGAAGTGATGGGGACAATTGGCTTAGAAATAACTGATCTAAAACTTATCAGATGAACTTTAAATCACATACTTCTTGGTTTACCCAGAGATCAAACTTTCTCATAACATTATACACGTTAATAGGCTTGCAAGGATATCTGATCATTCTTAATAAAATCCTTTCCTTTTATGTTTCTAGCGTTGCTAGCCTCACCATGTACAGTAGTAAGCATTTTGTTGTTCAATTTCTCAATGTGTATTGTTATTACCGTATTTTTCAGAGTATAAAACGCACTTTTTCACCCCTAAAAATGCATGGAAATGTTGATGCATCTTATACACTGAATACAGCCATTTTTAGCCTCCCAAAGCCATGTCTCCGCATCCCATTTTTGTGAAAAACGGGCAAAAAATGAGCCATTTTTAACAAAATTTGAGACGTTTTTACCTTCCTCCAGCCCCCAGAAGCACTCTGCAGGCTTCAGCAGGGCTGGGGAAAAACACCTTGGTTTTTATGAATAATGGGCAAGAAACGGGCCGTTTTTCACAAAAACTGAGGTGTTTTTCCCTCGCCCCAGCCCTGCTGAAGCCTGCAGAGTGCTGCTGGAGGCTGAGGGAAGGCAAAACCCTTTTTTTCTTACTTACCTCTTCAAAACTTTGGTGCGTTTTATAATCCGAAAAACACAGTAAATAAAACATGTTGAATGAATCGATGTAATCTAGGGCAGAACAGTCCATCAGCAAAGGAAGTATTTATAAATTGTTAGGGATGGTAAAATAAAGGATAAAGCCTCTTTGAAGGAGGCCAGGCCCTCTGCTCTGCTGAGACCGTGTCTTCCTTCTTTCATAGATAAGCCACGGTCCCACATTTACATGTGTGTTGCAAGGCTCAGTGTTGGCTCCCAGCATCCATTTCTTGCCCCTCAGAGTGGACTTTGGCAACTGTTTTATCTACCAAGCTGGGATGCCCATTTCCAAGAGAATCTTGGTGATCACTAATAAAGAGAGCAGGAAAGCCAGGTGAGCTGCAGCCTCTTGAGGTGAGAACTGGTGGGATGGAGCAGTGTGTTGTTGAGTGAGGAGAATTCACATCAAGGATGAACTCGGAACTCACTCCCTCCCATCTGTCTATCCATCAACATTCCCAAACAAACATAAAATGGTTTTATTGCAAAGGATTACAAAGCTAATGTATTAAAAGTTCTCCACGTAACAACACCCAGAAGTCCTCCCATCCCAAGGTTTGGGCCCTCCTCTGTCAGCTTTCTCCCCTTTGGGGCTCTTATTTCCCAAATGGTACCTTGGGGCTCAAATCCATTGGCTGCACCGGCTTCAGCTCTTGCGTTGCAAGAGCCCTGGAGGTGCCAGGAACTTGCAAGACTGAAAGGTGCTGGATTCAAAACCAGCTGTCTCGTCTTTCCAGTCTCAACCCCTTTCTCCTCTTGGAATCAGCCAATTTGGGAAGGGGTCAGTGAGATTTTGAAGTCTTTTATAAAGCAGGAGAAATCACTTCTGGGGAAATAAACTTAATTTTAACACACAAGGCATTAAGTGCTGGTTTATTTATATTTGTTAGTTTTGGAAACTGATGGCAACACAAGGAAGTCATGTGTTCCCAATTAACCCTCTTCTCATCTCTTCAAAGTGTGGCGTGCTTGTTCACCAACACCGCCTACCTTGAAATCGGTTTCCGTTCTGAAGCTCTAAATCCCGGAGAAAAGGTGGAGATTCCCATCAGCTTTTATCCCCGAGAAGCCATTTCCTACCATGAAATCGTCACCTTTGAAATAAACGGGATCTTACAGCGGACTGTAGAGATCTTTGGGAAAGGCATTGAGATGAAGGTGAGATTAGGCAGGCTCCTAGAAGAAGAAAGGGAGAGGGAAACTTGGGGGTCACAACCTGGTCACCTCCTGCTCAGGGTGTCTCTTCTGTGGGCAAGGGGTTTCAGCACCTCCTGCCTGGCTGCTCCTGCAGCTTTGAGCAGTCTGAATGGAAAGCAAGGAGTTGCTGCTCTGCATCCCCACTGTGGTCACCAAAAGATAAGGTGTGTGTGTGTGTGTGTGCACTCGCTAAATGGTCCTGATCTTCTATGCACACAACTGAAAAGAGCATTCACATTCATGATTTGAAAGTGGAGCTTGAAATTATTAAGAAGGAGATTTGGGACTTCTGAAGAAGTTTGCAGCTGTCTCTGAGTAATCTGGCCAGCCTCAAAGCACCAACATCTGGGCCTAGGAAACTTTTTCAGAGCATTGCTGATATTGTGCTGTGATATTTCAAAAAAAAGGAAGGAAGGAAGGAAGGAAGGAAGGAAGGAAGGAAGGAAGGAAGGAAGGAAGGAAAGAAGAACCAAATCAGTACATCAGGATCCCACCCTGACTGCAGGATCCCTTTGAACCCCTCCCTCCCTGGTTCAACCCTCTGATCTCCTCCCACTTTTTTCTCCCCCCTCCCCCAATTCATTCCACTTATTCTCTTCCTTAGTCCTGTCTGTTTCACGCCCATAGATAGACGTTGTGGAGCCTCCCCAGAAAGTGCTGAAATTTGGAGCTATCCCTCCAGGGCACATTGTGAAGAAGGGAGTCACACTAATGAACAACAGTGTTATCTTCGTCACATTCAGCCTAAGTTTTGTGGCTTCCATCCCGGAGTTGCAGGAAGCAAAGGTAGGACTTGTTCCTTCTGAGAAGGTATCCAGCAGAGTAAGTGGCCAGTGAGCACTCCTACCCCAGGGGATTCAGGGGGCTCCTCCTGCCCTCCAACTTCAGACGTGGCCGGGAAATAGAGGCTCCTGGGTGAAGGGCATCATATGGCACAGAGCACAGGACTTCTTGGAGCCTGGGTTCTCCCCTCCTTTCAAGCCACGACAGGGAAGGGGCTTTCCATTTGGGTGGCCAACAAGAGAGAGTGCCCAGGGGCAGAGGCAGAGCTGAAGATAAAGAGGCACAGGGTGTGAGTGAGTTCAGCTGGGGAAACAGTGGCCAAGTTACTAGTGCAGCTTGATTGAAGCAGCTTCCTGATAAAGCTGGGCTGCCCTGCTGACCTCTCCTGCTTGGCTTTGGTAGAACTGGGGGTGGGCCTCCCACGGGGTAAAAATCTGCATGTACAGTTCCACTTTCTCTGGGGCAAGGAGGAGGAGCAGAATGCTGGGTGATCAGTGCACAGGTCTCTGGGGCATCAGCAGAACCCAAACATGGAACTTGTTTGGAGCCAGGCTGCAGTCCATGCATCTAGAGGAAGACCGGCTATGTCTCCCCACTGAAAACATCTCTCCAGTTGAACCTCTGCCTGTCCTGCAGTCCTGCTGGATGCAAGATTGGCCAGTTGGCACTCTTTGCAGGAGAGGAGCATCCTGCATCAGGTAGGACTTTTCCACTGGGTGTCTTTGGACAGGTGCTCACTATGTCTCCCAGTGGTGAAATTACCTTGAAGCCCCGGGGAGGCACCTGTCACGTGGAGGTGACATTCAGTCCGAAGAGCCGCATCCTGCCCTTCTCTGAGGAGGTTCTGCTCGAATGCCAGGGGGTCCTGCACTCCCTCTTCATCGTGCAAGGCTGCTGCCAGGGCATTGAAGTCCACTTGGACCAGGATCACATCCCCTTTGGAGCGGTGGTGCTGCGGAGCCAGGCTTCTCGGCGCATCGTGATGCAGAACTCGGGAGACCTCGGAGTGGGGTAAGCCCCCCAGCCCTATCAGGGGGCTTCTTCACGGGCTCTTGGCCCCTCCTGGCCTGGAATGGGACATTCAGGCACTGATCATTGGCCACGCCCCCATCCAACCACCTCAGCCAATTCACAGCCAGCTTTCCTCTTCTGCTGGCCCTCCCCTGGCTCTTCTGCATGGTCAATGGGCTACTGCCCTCTGCCCCTTTGTTTTGACTGCAAAGTCCCAGTTAACTATTCTCCCCTCCCTTTCCCCTCTTCTGGCAACCCTGAAGCCACAAAAATGGCCTCAGCCAGGTTAACTTCAGGGTTGACACCTGGCATGTTTTCCAGCAGAGGGATCAAACTGGCCTCACAGCTCACCTCTCCCAGACCCTTCCCCCTTTCTCCATCAAGTTTGCTCCCACTCGCCCCCTAATTATCAACTTCCTAACCCATTCTAGGCCTCATGGTTCCTTCCTTCACTCTACCCGCTTTCTAATGTACTTTAATTGTCCCCAGGGTTGGAGGAACCTCCATCTCTCCCCCTCCCTACCTACCCACCTGCCTTTCTGCCACTGGTTCAAAGTATTGTGGAGAATGAAGTGTGAATATCTGTCCCTGAAGGCCAGTGGCTTGTAGTCAGCTATGGAGGGTCAGGGAGGATGCAAATGGGAGGCAAGTTTGCGCGCACATGGGTGGCTTTCGTTCCATGCAGCTGCATGCTCTCAACAGATAGGATTGAAAGAGAGCTGTAACCCCTTTTGCAACAGCGGGGTGGGAGGAGAGTCTCTGTACTACACACACACACACACACACACACACACACAGAGAGAGAGAGAGAGAGAGAGAGAGAGCGCTATATACACATTTTTTTTTTTATATACAC